TCAAAGGGTGTGACGGCTTAAGGCCGAGCTCTTGTGAGTTCGGGTGCTGTTCGAAAGGGTGACGGCTTATGGCCGAGCTCTTGTGAGTTCTGGTGCTGTTCGAAAGAGATAGCAGCTTAAGGCCAGGCTCGTATGCCTGGGTGCTGTTCAAATATGGCTACGGTCTCGACGTAAGGTAAGACCATGCGCCGGCTTTGCTCGGTCTTATTTGGAGACCCGACTTTGCGACTTGGGGATTCCATGGCTCGGTTCTATGTACCGAGCAGGTTATTTTGCGGTGCATTACTTCAAAGTCGGTTAGCCTCGCTTGGGCAGTTAGGCGGGCATAAACCGAGCACATAGATACCGGGGCGTTTGCTCGGTTTTATGTGAGTATATGATAAGATGGAGTGTCGTGGATGCCTCGCATGTGGCGACATTTGCGCGTTTGTTCAGTTTATTGTAGCTACAACCGAGTAGATGACGAGTCACGCATAGTACTGGCTCGGTTTTCCATGGACCGAGCAGGGGAAGTATCCATATAGGGACATCCGGAAGGTGCTCGGCTTTACTTATAAACCGAGCAGAATGATAGGCATAGTGTCTGCTCGGTTTCTCACGGACCGAGTAGGTGAAAGATCCACATGTTGAAACGCGGAAGGTGCTCGCTCGGTTTCTTATGGACCGAGCAGATGAACAATCCTTATGCCTCGCGCATGAAACGAGCTGTGTAATAGGCGTAATGTTGGCTCGGTTTCTCATGGACCGAGCGGGTGAAAGACCCGCATATCGACACATGGAAGGTGCTCCGTTTTGGGCGTCGTACTTGCTCGGTTTCTCACAAACCGAGCATGGGAAAGACCGCATGATAGCATGAGTGAGGTGCTCGGTTCCTCATAGACCGAGCAGGTAAGAGACCGCCGGATAATAGCATGAGTGAGGTGCTCGGTTCCTCATAGACCGAGCATTGGGGCGGAATTCGAGGTATGACTTGCTATGGATTGAGACATTTCATGAGGGCACACCCTCCCAGGGCCTATGCTCGGTTATGGGGTGCCTGCACGGCTACGTTTTGTTTATTTGATTTTCGTCGTTCCAGGGCTTATGCTCGGTTTCATGTGCACATACGATGGGGTTAAGTGTCAAGAATTTTTCCACATGGATACTTGGTTGTTTGCTCGGTTTCTTGCGGATAGATCAGGTAGAACCCGCACCCTAATATGCGAGGGATGCTCGGTTTTTTTTTTGGGGATCATCGTTTTTGTAGCCTGATCGAGGAGCCACGCTTGGGGCTCGACATTTTCCTTGCCCTATTGAGGAGTTGTGTTTGAGGCTCGACCTTTTAATAGCGCGGTTACGCCAAGAGCTTGGTGTCTATTTAGTCTGCTTCACCACATAAGGTGCTCGGCATTTTTGACAGCTCCAAATCGATTGGGGCTCGGTAATTCAGACCACTAAGGGAATTATCAAACGACACTTTCTACTTCCATGCACGATAGCTCATTAGGGGGGCTAGATGATATATCAGATAAAGTGGCTAGGTAAACCGACACATAGGTGTCCGCGCCCAAAGGGGGCATTTGTGGCCTGGCTGTATATGTATTAATGGCTCGGATTTACGTGGGCACAGCCTAGCATTCATTGGGCTTAAGAAGTTGGCCTAAGAGGTGTTCACTGGCCCATTTTGGGGTGAAGGCCGAGCCAGATGGTCATGAGGGGTAATGTGCGATGGACACGTATAGTGTCGTGATATGCGAGGTACTTGCTCGGTTGGCTTATGTACCGAGCAGTTGATGTGCGTGTGTTTACCCGGTCAAGGGAGGATGGGGATTAACAGCGGGATGGATAGATGAGTAGCTCGGTTCGCACTTTTTGCTCAGATAAAGTTAGTGGGGTAGATGAGTAGCCCGTACTCCATTTTCTGCTCGGATAAAAGAGTTGGGGCAGAGTAATAATTTGGCCAACTATGTGGGCCATCATCATTATCATCCTAAAGAAATTTGAAGTTCAAATAATTTGAGCTCAATGGCCAAATATATAATATATATTGAAAGAGATAAAGGATATGCACAACTTTCAAGATGGGGCTTTTTGCTGGTTGGGTCAACACGTGATTTTCCCTTTCATTTTCGGTCAATGCGTGATTTTCCCTTTCCTGCTCGGTTAAAGTGGCTTTTTTCACTTGCTGCTCCGTCCAGACACGATTTTTCCCTTCTTGCTCGGTCAAAGCGTGACTTTTCACGTGCTGCTCGGTCCACACGCGATTTTTTTTGCTCGGTTGCTGACCTTGGCTAAGTGCTCGGCGTTTTTACGTTTTTGATTGGGTAGCTATGTTCAGTGCTCGGTTTTGCCATCGGATAGTCGTGTTAGGTGCTCGGGTTTTGCTCTTCGCTTGGCCGGTAGGGTTACAATAGATGCTCGACATTTCTTATTAATGGCTCAATTGCGATCGTGCTCGGTAATTTTGACCAACATGTGGATTATCAAACAAATCTATCTAATCTACATGCACGATAGCTTATTTGATAATAGGGGGGCTAGATGATATAGCACGTAGAAGTAATGGGATAAACCGGGGGTTCGGCCTTTGTAGGCCTTCGAATGGCTCGGCCTTTTGTGGGCTCGGTCTTTGTTGGTTCTGCTTGAGGCTCGGCCCAAAGGGGCGTAATAGTGGCCCAGCTGCAGATCATTCAGTGGTTCAGATTTAAATGGGCTTGGCCTAGCACATTCGTATCCGTGGAGCTTAAAGAGGGGGTGTGGGAGTTGTTTGACGGCCCATTATGGAACAAAGTGGCTGTAAGGGCAGTGTGTGAGGGACACGTGTAGTGTCAAGATGAGGTGAGCCTGGATCATCTAATGGGCAAGGACCGAGGCGTGGGAAAGAAGTAAGGTCAATACTTATAAATAGGTAAGGTTGGGTGGTAGGTAAAGGAGACACTCTACAAACCCTAACCCTACTTACAATTATGTAGGATTCTCTTATACTCTTCTATTCCTTACTGACTTGAGCGTCGGAGAGTTACCGCCGGGAGCACCTCCCGGCGTCATTGCAGGTCTTCAAGAGCTTGAACCGGGCGAGGAACGGAAGGGAACCGGGTCGAGGTGTGGAAGTGTTATCAGTAGGGTAAGGTGATAAGGTTATGTTTGGTAAATCTAGTTGAATATACTACATGGTATGCTAAGGCAATCTTATAGTTTTGAAGTGAATTTCGAGCTTATATCTGATAGCTTATGACTTATGACTGAAAAACTAGCTTATATGATAAAAGTGTGATAAATTTAGCTCATAAGCGCTGAAAAAAGAAAAAAAAAATCTATCAATTTATTTGAAAAGTTAGCCAAGTAAACTTATAACATAAGTTTGAACATTTTTAAAGAGCTCGTTTTACCAAACAAAACTTATTTGAATTCAGAAAGAGCTAATCAAATAAGTTATAAGCTAGTTATTAGAAACGTATGTTGTTCTGTTTACATCAATACTAATAATCGAGCCTGCATGAATTTCACGGGGCTCGTCGGAGATTCTCCGAGCCGGAAATCGGTAGAGCAAGAAAAAAAACCCTAATTGGCGGGAACAAAAATAAAAATTAAAAAAAAAGGGGAAAAGGAAAAAATGGGGAATGAGGAAAAGGGATTGGCTGCCCATAAAGAAAAAAACCCAATGTGTCAGAAAAGTCAACATCAACGTTTGACTCTTCACCGGCTTCTATGATAACCGGCGTTAAATCTCACATCTCCACTTTTATTTCACACACAAAAACACACAGAAACAGTAGATCGGCCATGGAGAAAAGCTCGTCCTGCTCCTCCCTTGGTCCCGGGGGCCTCGACCTCTCCAACACCTTCTTCACCCCAATCCCCGCCGGATCGCCGCCGTCCCCCTCCCGGCGGCCCACCAAGATCACCGTCGTCGGCGTCGGCAACGTGGGCATGGCCATCGCCCAGACCATCCTCACCCAGGACCTCGCCGACGAGATCGTCCTCGTCGACGCCAAGGAGGACAAGCTCCGCGGAGAGGTGCTCGACCTCCAGCACGCCGCCGCCTTCCTCCCCCGCACCAGGATCACCGCCTCCCTCGACTACGCCGCCACCGCCGGATCCGACCTCTGCATCGTCACTGCCGGCGCCCGCCAGAACCCCGGCGAGAGCAGGCTCAACCTGATCCACCGAAATGTGGCCCTTTTCCGGCACATCGTGCCGCCGCTGGCCAAGTACTCGCCGGACTGCATAATCATGGTCGTCTCCAACCCGGTCGACGTGCTGACCTACGTGGCGTGGAAACTGTCTGGGTTCCCGGCGAATCGGGTCATCGGGTCGGGCACGAACTTGGATTCGTCCAGGTTCAGGTTCTTGATTGCGGATCACCTTGATGTCAATGCCCAGGACGTGCAGGTAAAGGGTTTATTTTTTCTATGTAACAAAGATTGTATTTTTCAACCAAATTACCATAATTACTTCACTAATCTTTCTTTAATATATGTAAGAGACCATATTTTAACTATATTACCATGATTACTTCACTAATCTTCCTTTAATAAATGTAAAAGATCATATTTTTGATCTAAATTACCATGGTTACTTTACTAACCTTCCTGTATTGTATATATGTAAAAGATCATATTTTGAACTAAATTACCATGATTAATTACTTCACTAATCTTCCTTTAATAAATCTAAAAGATCATGTTTTGGAGCTAAATTACCCTGATCACTTCACTAATCTTCCTCTTAATCTATATAAAAGATAATACTATAATTTTGAGCTTAATAACCATTGATTACTTCTCTGAAAAAAAAAAAAAAAACCATTGATTACTTCACTAATCTTCCTGAAATATATGTAAATCATTTTTTTTTTTTAACTAAATTCCCACAACAACTTCACTAATCTTCAGGCAAAAATTACAATATGAGCACTTTTGAACACATCTTGCAGTAATTATTCCTCCTAAACAGAGAGCTAGCTATAATCTATTACATTATCTTGATATGTTGATATATATACACTAAGGCATATGTTGTGGGAGAGCATGGAGACAGCTCGGTTGCCCTTTGGTCGAGCATTAGCGTGGGAGGCGTGCCGCTCCTCAGCTCCTTAGAAAGGCAGCAAGTGGCCTTTGAGGAGGAGACACTAAGGAAAATACACAAAGAAGTGGTGCAGAGCGCGTATGAGGTGATACGTTTGAAAGGCTACACGTCTTGGGCCATTGGCTACTCTGTCGCCAGCCTGGCGCGGACATTGCTTAGGGACCAAAGGAGGATTCATCCCGTCTCGGTTCTTGCAAAGGGGCTTCACGATATCGATGGGGATGAGATCTTCCTCAGCCTGCCAGCTCAGCTCGGGAGGAATGGGGTCGTGGGCGTGGCTAACGTGCACCTTACGGATGAGGAAGCTAAGCAGCTCAGGAGCTCGGCTAGGACCATTATGGAGGTGCAAAGCCAGTTGGGGCTTTGATTGATGAATTTTTGGCAATTTTTTTGATTGATCTATATAATTGTATGTTCGTTTGATCTCAAATGCTTTTTTTTTTTTGTCTACAAAATGTGTGTTTTGACAGAACAAAACTGCTATGTGATATTTATATGAATGTGTGTTAAGATTACTTTTTATCTTTCTAAACTTATAATTAACGTGGCAGTTCGACAAATTACTCGTTAGATTATCTTAATAATGTTTATGGCGGTTCGACAAATGACTTATTAATTTAATATTTTAATTTTGTATATCTTTGATCCTCTAAATCCGTGGATAAATTATTCGTGGAATTTAAAGTGTTTTGTTCAGCTAGAATAATACTTAGTAGAAAAGATTGTGGAGGAAAAATGTGGAATTATTTATTTAGATAGTAAATCCTTGTAGCATGTATATATACTAAATAAAGATCAAATAAAAATTGATAGTTTGAAACGAGTAACACTAAATTTTGTAGGATCTATACAATAATTATTAATTTTATTTTAAAAATTAATATAGATAATATTGACAGAAGAAAATAAAAATTAGTTGATGAAATAATTGTGTTAAATTACAACTTGAGGAATGAAAGTATTTGGGTTACTTCCATGAGAACAATGATGAGAGGTGTTAAACAAAATGAGATGTGAACTTGACTCAACTCTTGACAACTTAAGTTTGGCTTAAACAATCATTACTTGAACTAATTCAATTGACAAATCGAGCTCGACTCAAAAATAAAAATTATTATGTGATTTCTATAGCTCGGCTTGTCAATGTATGTTCGACAGTCGTTCTAAGTATAGCCGAGCTAGTCAGTTCCTTCTATGTTTGACCATTCTAGTCTTTAACAAACAAGTCCGTTTTTTAAGTTTTCTATCGACCTCGTCACTTTTATGTTGAGCATTGGAGATGCTCTTAACGATTCAAGCTCGGATGAGCTCGATAAAGGCTCGAGTCGAGCTCGAATCCATTTTGTATACTATAATCTATATTTTCATTCTAGAATGTGCGCAAAATAAAACGACGCCGTCACAGAAAATAGCCCGAATCAAAAATTGACAGCTTCATCTATTTCCAGTTTCCGAACGAACATTTATCAATTTCATCAGTCGAAGATCTACCCAGCAAAAGGAAAAATCTAAAATGGCAGGAAGACTGGCGCGCGTAGCATCTCAGATCATGGGCGGTAACGCCGTCGTTTCACGATCCGTCGCCTCCTCCCTCCGTCAGCGAGCCGGCATGGGCCTCCCCGTCGGCAAACACATCGTCCCCGACAAGCCAGTATGTATTTCGGCTCTTCTTTTGCAGCTAATGTACAATGATAAATGAAAACCCTAATAGATAAACTCATTTTTGACGCCCTTTATTTTCCCTAAAAATTGCTGATGTACTGTGTGCAGCTTCCAGTGAATGACGAACTTGTGTGGGATAACGGAACCCCATTCCCCGAACCTTGTATTGATCGGATTGCTGATACCGTTGGAACGGTTGATGCCTCTAATTTTATTTCATCCAATTGTTTCGGCTCGTGTTTTGAACAAATTGTGGGGTTTGTTTAAATTTGATTGAAATGTTTCTTTTTTGTTATGGTAGTATGAAGCATTAGCATGGCTGTGCGGAGGATTGGGATTTTTCGCCTCTCTTGGGATGTTAGCTGTGTGGAATGACAAGGCTTCAAAAATACCATTTGTAAGTCTTACTGGATTCTGCTTTTCTATCTTTAGGCTTCGAAAATACCATTTTGTTATGGTTAGGTTCGTCGGTTTAGATTTAGGTTTTCTTTGGCAATGGGTGATGTGTATCACTTTAGAGAAATATGGTAATCGATGTTGAAGAAGAGTATTCACACGGGTTCTCACAGTTATAGTGATTAGTGAATGAGATAGGACTAAAATCATCTGCTGGTTTACTAATACTACCCGTTACTAATACTGCCATAAGATATGAGTGATGGTACCTTGCTGAATATAAACGGGGCATTAATTTGGATACTAAAACTTTACCGGACCATGGAGTGAGCATCGAACTCAAATGTAGGCTTTGGAAACCTTACCATTTAGTTTTGATTATTGATACTAGAAAGCAACATCGGGATCAGATTGCCAGTGCTTCTGCAGACCTCTGGGTCGGCCCTGAGGTGGGTGGGTGGGTGGTTGGTTTTGCGCCTCGATGTTTGATTATATTGATTTTGTTTCCTTCATGTTATATGCCCTTATATGCTTTCATATACACAATCCAGTTGTCTTGCTAATTGAATGTTCTTTATCACTCATTGATGCTATTTTTCGTCATCCATTTTGTTTACTATTGATTATGGACTTAGTTCACACACTTTGTTTTCTGAATGGGTTATGGCAAAGTTTTGTATATAGATAGGGTTGCAGTGTTGACAGTTCGGGATTCACAATTTAGATATTTATTGATTATGATTGGTATCCAATATTTTGTTTAGTTGATTGTATATAATAGTAGTATCAGATGATGAAAATGACCTTGAAGTAGTGCTATCCTTGCACGGAGTGTAGTGAGATAAAAGGCCTCAGCAATTTTAGGTTGCAATAGTTGTTTTAATGGTTGAGACCAGCATGGATATTTATTTATCCGGGTAAGGCTACGTATTTATAGTGCACAAATGAATATTGTTACAGGCTTCTAGTCCAATATGAGCGTTCATCGTTTCCTTCCATTGAATAGAATTCAGATTTTCTAATTCTTTGGCTCTGTTTATTTATATTTTTTCTTATCTTTGTTTTGAGTTTCCCGGAAATGTAGGGGGAATGAATTTGATGAAATTTATTGTTTTTATCTTTATCTTTGGGAGATCCTTTTGTTCTAATTTAATAAGTTTTCCTTTGTTTAGTAGCGTCTCGTAATCTTCCTATAAAGACAGTTTGTAAAGTAAAACAACACCTGATTTACAATTTTTTACTACATATTTTCATAGTTTAATGTGTTTTAAATTATTATTATTATTTTTTAAAAATTATGCCGGACATATAGTATTTACTTGTGTCATTAAGAAAAATTCGATACCTTAACATATATTTTGTTGGATCGAAGTTTTTCGGCTGTGTCCCACATTCGTGTCCAAATATCAGATCCTTTTAGCAATGTGGACGTACTCCAAAAATTTGTAAAAAAAAATTATATATACGTTCTTACCACAGCACAGTTTGATTTATGAATCCAGATATTCATGTCTTAAATCATCCAACAATCCCGATAATATCTTCAGGTGTTTGTTTGAGTGGCATGCATCTTCATATGCTCAACTTAAACTCCTTTACCCTGTATCTTATAGCTAGTTACACAAGCTGTAGACTTATTGCTAACCATACATACTCCTTTTTTGGCAAACTGTAGAATACTCAAGATTTCTTAATTATGATTAAAATCAAGCTCAGAAAGAGTTCAATCCTTCCTGCTTATCACTTGTTTGGCTTTTGGGATTGCAAAAGCGTTTATATACAATCAAAGCTACCTACTATGTGTTGATTGTGTTTCTAGGTGGTGTGAGCAACACTAAAACCAAACTCTCGAGAATGCACGAGGAGGTTATTTGTGGAATGGAAACTTAATTTTGCGTCTGCTTTGCAAATACGACCTATAATTTACTCGTGACATTTTTATTATTATTTTTTTTTTTTCAGGTACCTAAGGTCTACCCTTACGACAACTTAAGGGTGGAACTCGGTGGAGAACCCTAAGTTTGGATATTGATTATCCTCTCTCATGTTGTTGCACACATTTCTCTTGTTTGATTGTTTTGAGGTTGTGAACAATGAATGCATCTAAATACTTGAATAAGTTAAACTCAATCAAATTGATCAGTGTTTTTTTCTGGTGTACTTGATGTTTGTTTCAAGTAACTTTGGAAATCTAAAAAAGATTTCTTTTATTTTAATATTCGGTGCCTGTTGTTTTGAGAAAATTACACCTTTACCTATGAATTTTATTTTATTTTTATATTTACAGACTTTTCTTTTTAATTTTTAATATATTAACTTTTGAAGTTTGTAAATGGTTCATTTGTGGTTTATTTTTGTTATTGATTTTCAAATTTACTATTTTTTGATTTATGACTACTTTGTGAATTATTTATGTACAATTTTATTTTAAATGTAGTATTTTTTTTATTATTTTTCAAAAAGTACAGTAAATATGTAGAAGAACCTGTAATTTTCGTTAAGATGGTAAGGTGCTTTTGCATATAAATATTTTCTATTAGTTATTACAATATTTTCTTTTAGTAGTCAATAAACTCTCACTCTTGCTTATGACAGTATAGCTCTCAATTTCTTTTAATTACTACAAATATTTTCTTTTATATTTGGTGCTAAATTAAGAATGGACTTATGAATAAGTTGTTGCGCCAAAAACTCCAAAATGATGGAGACTTTTGGAGAAGTGCATTTTGGATAAGTCCATATCTTAAATGGAATTTTTCAAAAGTGCTCTCAAACAATCACTTAATTTTTGTACTTGGATATGGCACGTGTGTGTTCGTTTGCTTGAAAGATGTCTTATAATTAGTTTATTTCACACGTGTTCTTATACACCAACACCATTCGGTAGGTCAACGAGATGCTTGTGAGTTCGATTCATTAAGGTTGGAGCTCGAATTCATTTCGTTAACGAGCGAGTTGAGTTTGGCTCGTTAAGAGCTGCTTGTGAGTTCGATTCCTTAAAGTTGGAGCTCGAATTCGTTTAGTTAACAAGCTGAGTGGAGCTTTACTCGCTATGATTGGAAAATAAGAGTTTTTTTTAAGTAATTTTTGAACTTTTAGTATAAAATAAATTGGCTCGTTGAAGTTCGTTGATTAACTAGTCAAGCTCGAGCTTATATGTAGGCTCATTAACTTAAGAGTCGGGCTCTGCTTGACTCGATAAAAGCTCAAGCCAAGCTAGAGTATCATGAGCCCGAATTTGGCTTGCATAAATATTTTTTTGTTTTTTGTTTTTTGTTTTTAATTTTATTTTATCTATTATTATTTATTTATTTTTTATTATTATTATTATTATTATTATTATTATTATTGGATGATGACAAAATTATCGCCGACTTTATTATTTGTTTATTTTAAATCAGGGGTACCTAGAGCCAGATCTGTATGTTACGACCAACAACTAAAAACAAACTGCATCAAGCCCAACATACAAGCTCAAATGGAGTTCCACTAAAAAAACCAATTGAAATGAGTAGCCCACCAAACTTATATATTGGAATTGAAACTTTTAATTTTTCGATGTGTGATTGAGTTGCACACCCTACAAACCTCACCTCAAACACAAGACCACATTTGGCCTCCCCTTGAACGAAGTGTGATTGAGTTTGCACACCCTACAAACCTCACCTCAAACACAAGACTACATTTGGTCTCCCCTTGAACGAACATCTATGTTTCCGCTATTATCACCCAAGTTTGAACCGTAGCTCTGATACCAATTGTTAGGACCAAACAACTCAAAACTCAATTCTCCGTCAAACCAACATATAAGTCCAAATGGGGTTTTATTCTAAAACCATTTAAAAGTAGAAGGGGTAGCCCACCAAACTTATAAATCAGACTTAGAACCTTTAATTTTTCGACGTGTGATAGAATTTTCACACCCTACACTTTTTACATTTTCAACATTTAAAAGCTAGATTGTAGTTAAGCATGATGTGAAATTAAATAAAGGATGGAGAATATATGGCTATGGATGTTCTGACTTTACGAATGTGCTAGCTTATATATAAATAATTAGTTTGTTAGTTTATAAAGTTTTTGATTTAAAATAAGTGATGGATTTTTGTTTTGTTTTGTTTTGTTTTTAAATTGAAGTTTATCTATCTCATAACCTTAGTTTTTCTAAAGAAAAACAACTGAATTAGATTTTAGCCATTCAATAATCAACTTGTTTGACAATATATGCATGTAGATGCTTAACAAAGGTGACACCTCATCTAACATCTTACTTTTTCACTAAATAACAAACAATTACACGTCTTCTCCCAATTTTATCAGACTTGTTAAAATTAAAAACGAATTTTTTAATGTCCAATTTTGTTGGATGAATAATATAAGCTTATAATCACGTAAAATGCTACGATCCCTTTACGGAAACATTTCATCAGGGTTCGTAACCGTTAGATCAACTATCACGGACAGTCAGATAATGATCTAACAGTTACAAATCCCGACGGAATGATACAGTAACGGGACTGTAGTATTTCTCTATAATCACATCGTATTTGTATACACGCATCTTATGGAAAAAAATAATTAATATTAGCATTTAATTAAATTGGTAAATTCTAAGTAAAAT